ATGGGAAGAACTCAAAAAGTTACTCATCGAAGAGTATTGTTCTAAGAGTGAAATTCAGAAGTTGGAAGTTGAATTCTGGAATCACACCATGATTGGAATGGAGGTGGACAAATACACTGCTCGTTTTCATGAGCTTGCCAAGTTAGTACCTCATATGGTCACTCCAGAGGAGAAACGAATGATCGGTACATCTGGGGATTGGCACCTGAAATCCGAGGGATGGTCACGTCGGCAAACCCAACCACTATACCAAACGCAGTGGTTTTGGCAAGCCGTCGGACAAATGATGCAGTTAGATCAGGGATTTTAAAGCAAGACAAATTTGGTGGAACGAGGAAACTAGAGGGGCAATCGTGGAATAGGGCCAACAACAATTTAGGCAAGAACCAAAAAGTGATAAGAAACTTTGGGGCCCAGTCTCAAACAGGAGAAAAGGGCAAGGGAACTTACCCTAAGTGTGGCAAGTGCAATTATCACCATAGCGGGAGATGCATCATCTGTTTTAGATGCAATAAAGGAGGTCATTTCGCTAAAGATTGCAAGATCGGAGAGAATCGAACATGCCATGAGTGCGGAAGCTCGAATCACTTCAGGAATGCATGCCCGAAATTGAACCGAGGGTCAGTTACTAACCCAGCACGACCAGTCAACCAAGGAAATCAAGGAGGCCAAGCACGAGGTCGAGCATTTGCAATTGGGGTGGAAGAAGCCAAGCAAGACTCGAATGTGGTCACAGGTACATTTCTTCTGAATAATCATTACACATCCATACTATTTGATTCTGAAGCAGATAGAAGCTTTGTATCCCTAGAATTTAGACCAAAGATTAGTTTAAAATCGCAAAAGCTGAAAGAAGATTTCGTTATCGAGTTTGCTAATGGTCAGGAAGTTAGGACGGAAGACGTAATCACAAATTGTACATTACGTTTAGCTGAACAAAACTTTAGCATAGACCTTATTCCAATTAGATTAGGAAGCTTCGATGTAGTTGTGGGTATGGATTGGCTATCCAAAAATCAAGCCGAGATATGTTGTTCTGAGAAGACCATTCAAATTTTGAAAGGAAGTGAAGCGCTCGTGGTGCATGGAGAGAAGTCCCAGAGAAATTTCAAATTACTAACATGTATGAAGATGCGAAAATACTTGAAAAAGGAATATGTCGCGTTTATGGCTCACATTATGGATAAAGGAATTAAAGAGAAACGCATCCAGGATTTCCCATAGTTTGGGATTTTCCCGAGGTGTTTCCTGATGAGCTACCAGGATTACCCCCGTTACGGCAAGTCGAATTCCACATTGACTTAATTCCTGGAGCCGTACCTGTAGCCAAATCACCTTATCATTTGGCACCATCGGAAATGAAAGAATTGTCAGACCAACTAAAGGAGCTACTCGACAAAGGATTCATCAGACCCAGCTCTTCACCCTGGTGAGCTCCAATTCTAAAAAAGAAAGACGGATCCCTTCGGATGTGCATCGATTATAGGGAACTCAATAAGTTAACCATTAAGAACCGATATCCTCTTCCCCGAATCGATGACTTGTTCGATCAACTTCAAGGTGCCACTTACTTTTCAAAGATCGATATTCGGTCCGGATACCATCAAATGAGGGTCCTTGAGGAAGATATTCCTAAGACGGTGTTCAGAACTCGATATGGTCATTATGAATTTTTAGTCATGCCATTTGGGTTAACTAACGCGCCAGCARTTTTCATGGATTTAATGAATAGGGTATGTAGGCCATATTTGGATAAGTTTGTGATTGTATTCATAGATGACATCCTGATCTATTTGCAAAACAAGGAGGAGCATGAGCAGCACTTAAAGTTGATACTTAAACTATTAAGGGATCAGAAATTATATGCCAAATTCTCCAAATGCGAATTTTGGATTTGTGAGGTGCACTTCCTTGGTCATGTGGTAAATGCGAAGGGAATTCATGTTGATCCGGCCAAAGTTGAGGCTATAAAGAAGTGGGAAGCTCCAACGACCCCAACAGAAATTCGCCAATTTCTCGGTTTAGCGGGTTACTATCGCCGTTTTATTTCAAATTTCTCCAAGATCGCACAACCACTGACAGTATTAACCCAGAAGAATAAGAAGTTTATGTGGGGAGAAAAGCAAGAAGAAGAATTCCAATTGCTCAAACATAAGCTATGTCATGCACCGATCTTAGCACTACCAGAAGGCACGGATTATTTTGTGGTATATTGCGATGCATCACACCAAGGCTCGGGATGTGTGCTGATGCAAAATGACAAGGTCATTGCTTATGCATCAAGGCAACTTAAGGTTCATGAAAAGAACTACACCACTCATGATTTGGAGCTAGGAGCAGTGGTGTTTGCACTCAAGATTTGGAGACATTATCTCTAGGGAACCAAATGCACCGTTTTCACTGATCACAAAAGCCTTCAACATATTCTAAACCAAAAGATGCTAAACATGAGGCAACGGAGATGGGTCGAACTTCTCAACGATTATGACTGTGAAATAAAATACCATCCAGGGAAAGCTAACGTGGTAGCAGACGCACTAAGTCGAAAAGAAAGGATAAAACCGTCAAGAGTACGAGCCATGGGGATAATAATTCAAACGAACCTAAAAATGCAAATTCGTGAAGCTCAAGAAGAGGCGTTGAAAATAGAGAATCTGAAGAACGAGACCCTGCATCACTTAGAGAAGGAATTCGAAACCCGAGCAGATGGGGTATGTTACTTTAGAGATAGAGTTTGGATACCAAGGGACGACAAACTTCGGTCAACAATTTTGGAGGAAGCACATCGCTCAAGATACTCAATCCACCCAACAACTGATAAGATGTTCCAGGAGCTAAAAGAATATTACTGGTGGCCAGGAATGAAGAAGGATGTTGCTTTGTACGTAAGTCGATGCTTAACATGCGCAAGGGTAAAAGCAGAGCATCAGAAGCCATCTAGTCTCCTTCAGCAACCAGAGATTCCCCAATGGAAGTGGGACCAGATATCAATGGACTTCATTACTAAGTTACCTAGGACTAGGAAAGGACATGACTCAATTTGGGTCATA